AATGAGACGTATTGATTTATATCTTGAGATTGCTTTATATATTTTACTAGCTTTAATTTTGCTGTTTTACTCGAACTTTTCTCATATTGTGCATGTCTGTATTATACTTGCTTCGGTGGTGTAATGGCTAGCCTATAAGGCTGCACACCCGAAGGACCTGGGTTCGAGTCCCGGGTCGGGAAAAGTTTAGTTATTGAGACTTTCTCTATAGTAAGTCTCAGTAACAGCCCGGAGTTGGGAAGTTTGCGGTGTTTCACCCCCGTTCCTGGGAGAGCACGTAAAGCCGTCGGTCCTGCGCCTTAACTCTCCCCGGTCGTGTCGAGCATTCGTTCCACCGGAGTATGAGAGTGACAGGAATACAGAGTGCACGTTGTGTCTGCGCGTACACTTGTGCACTATAATATCTCCTGCGCAGTTGGCTAGTCTCAATGAGATTGGCCGCCGTGGCCGGAATCGGTCGGGAGGACATCATTATCTGTATTATTTCCGTATTAATATTTTTATATATTCCGTATTAATTTTTATAAATGTAAAAGTTTGTGAGTATGGATGTTTGTTACTCTTTCATGCCAGAACAGCTGAACGGATCTGGATGAAATTTGGCACAGAGATTGATTATAGTCTGGAATAACATATTGGCTACTTTTTATAGATAGATAGATAAAAAGATAGAGATAAAAAGTAGCCAATCTTCCCGTGGAATAGGTTTGTTTTTGTTCTCCTAGAGCCTTCGTCAATCGTGACGTAATAAGTGTTATACGAGGTGGAGCCATAGTCCACCACGTGGCCCAAGTGCAAGCGGACTTCATGTCATGTCTTCCAAAAACTTGCTTAGTTCTCTCCTTCGATGTCACATAATTTTGCTGTCATCGTGAGAATATATATTAATGAATGAATCAGATATTTTCAAGGATTCAAGCGAATATATGACATTTTATATAAAACTTTGTATTTTTTTAATTCATTTTGTTATTTTGTGGGTAGGCTGTGTAAGCACACCGACTTCGAAAATATTTGATTAGGTATGCATAGTAAATGAATACTACCAATCACTTATTTTTTACTTTTTAGTGCTTTTGTTTGAAGTCGGTTTATATTTTTTTGTTAAAATATTTTTATTTTTTCTCTTTATTAAAACCTTCCGTGGACCTTAAGGAACATACAAAAAAAAATTAGCCGAATTGGTCCAGCCATTCTTGAGTTATGCGCTTACCAACATTCATTTTTATTTATATAAGATGTCAAATATTTGAGTAAATCTAAGAAAGTAATATAAATATTTATCCTTGCGAATGTACTTTAAATTCCACGTATGTTCCATCAAACCACAATTACCTTGCAAGATAGAGTATGATAGGTTGTTTAGAAATATGCGGTTTCGTCTCAAATCTATTCATATTACAAGCCTTTACTTTACCTCGAACTTCTGGTCCGATACTGAGTCATAAAGTCTCTATTGTTAGTCCTGTGAGAGACTAGTTTTCGCCCGTGGCTTCGTTCATGTGGTAAGTGGGACAGGGATTAAAGGTAGCGTATATCCGTCTCCAGGATAAAATTTATATCCTTGCTAAATTTTATCGCAATCTGTTCAGCGTTTTAAGCGTGAAAATCTGGGTAATAGACAGTATCTTTCATTTATTATAATATTGTTATGGATTAAAACCTAATGCTATGTAGTTATATCACTATCTTATAGTATTAAATGGTGAATGAATGAATATTTTCTTGTATGTAACTCGGAAACGGCTGTAACGATTTGGATCAAATTTTGTATTTATATATATAAAATTCCGATGTGCGTGGGTTCACAATTCTTCTTTACTAAACTGCCTTAACCGATTTTGATAATATATTTGTGTACTTATGAGTTCACCTGGATGATGGCTATAGTTCGATCCCGTTAGTATAGGTGTGGCGTCGAGATCCGGTTTTTTTTTTTATTTTCCCTCCAAACGAGGCAAGACGTGTAAATGATGTCCGTTAGTATAATTATTACAAATTAAAACTATCATCCAGTCTTCACTTCAATAAAATTATTTATTCTACAACATAACATATTTTTTAATATTTTTTTATATCTAGCAATAAAAGCACAGATTACACAATACTATATCAATAAAAACTTGTGTTTTCGGGAATTACTTTGTGAATTATTGACTGAAAATTACCCATAAAAAAGAGATCGCAGCCGGTAGGATTCGAACCTACGCTCCCAGAGGGAATCTGATTTCGAGTCAGACGCCTTAACCACTCGGCCACGACTGCTTGTTAGAAAATCTTTAATCTCAAATAAACTTCCTTAGTGTTTAACAAATCTAAACTTATTTCTTAGACCACATATTTGTTATATGTACTTATTTCTAGCGACTCACCCTCGCTCCGCTTGGGTTCCTAAAAACGTTTTAACATTTAGTATAGATTTGTCATAGATGAGATATTTTCCCGCAGTAAAAAGTATCCTATATGTTGACCTGAATAACCAGCTATTATCATACCAAATTTTATTAAAATCTGTCCAATGGTTTTCTCGTGATGAGTTCCCAGACAGATAGATATACATACGACAGACAGAAAATCTAAAAACTATAGATTCGGCATCTGAATCGATAATAATGACTATTTCAATAAGATTTTCAAAAAATACATATTTAATGTACAGATTCGACTCAGAATTCTATCAAATGTATTATGTTAGTCCCTACTTCTTCGGATTTCACGGACTCAAAAGAGCCTGATCCTTTGAAAGGCTTGCATGAGGACACAGGTCCAACACGTAGAGGCCCCTTAAGAGATTCAAGTTCGTTTAATGTGACGCATCAACCGGGATCGATCTCTGAATAACCCATAAGGAATTGCTTAAACGTAATCACCGGAAAACAAATCTATCCCGTGGGATAGATTTGTTTTTGTTCTTAATTTTTCCGGGATAATATAATAATAATATAATAATTTTATTATCCAAATTTTTTTTACAAAATAGTGTTACAAAATAATTCAGCCAAATAAACAATATCGTTATAAGGTGAATGAAGCATCTGTTGCTGAACTAGGAAATCTGAATTTCAGCTAGCAGCGTCAAATTCCTCCAGAAAAATACATTGCTTGACATGCCAAAGTAATATTTAAAACAAAGAAATAAAATAAAATACAAACAAAAGAGATAAAAAAAAAACAAAAAGATTCTGCGTAAACATTGAATGGACGTGAGATGTGGATAAAAGTAACTTATGTGTTATTCCAGACTATAATCTATCTTTGTGCCAAAATTCATCCAGATTCGTTGAGCCTAAGTACTGTACCGTTTCAAATGCTTAGTACTCAGATAGGGTATGACGTAGACTCCTAGAGTAATGAACAAGCTACAATCAGGTAGGTACCTATGGGAGAAAGTCGCGAGTTAACAAAAAAATAATAATTATAAAACTTTATTTCTGGAAAGGAAATGATTTTAAATTTTTAAGTTCAATTTCAAATCGATTGTATTTAAATTTTATTTATTTGTTTTCTCTCTACAGTTAAAGGTTAATTATTCATTAAAATGAAGGCCTCAAACCTGTTGTTAAAAAAATTAAATATTCAGTTGCATAATAATTAAAAATATATTTGTATACAATGCCCTTATCTATGTATAATTTGGACGACACGTTGCGCTCAGTTTGTAGTGACCCTACTTGCTGTGCCAGCGAACGCGGATTCGAGTCCCGCTGGGGGCATTCATTTGTGAGATGAGCACGAATGTTTGTACTCCAGTCATGGATGTTTATATTTATAATATGTATGTATTTAAAGTTATATATGTGTAGTGTATCAAGTATCAACTATCTGGTATCAATAACATAGGGTAGGCTGGTCTAGGAGTACGCACCTAAGGTTCGAACAGTTCTAAAATTAAATTAAATATCTCTAGATAATCGGCTTAACTTTTCTTTTGTATTCGATATTATCTATTCGAATATTATAAAGAGGAAATTTTTTGTCTGTCTGTTTGTTCCGGCTAATCTCCGAAATGGCTGGACCGATTTTGACAGGACTTTCACTGGCAGATAGCTGATGTTATAAGGAGTAACTTAGGCTACTTTTGTTTTTGAAAAAGAATCAGGGTTCCGCGCAAAAAAAATTAAAACCCAAAAAAATGTGAGCAATACAACATACTTAGGTACGCACACGAGCGAAATTGCTGGTATAACATTAAAATTATTTATATCGAATTCATCGCTTACAACAAACTCTTATGTAGAATATTACTATAATCACAAGGTCACCCATCCAAACATCGCCACGGTTATCTTAACTGTAAAAGTAATCCGCTAGTTCTACGTGTTTAGAATGTTTATGAGATCACGCGCGGTTACATACATACCTACACATGTACTTAGAATAATTTAGAACTTGAATATTTAGTTGAAAATGAGGTAAAGAGAGGCCGCGATTTTGATGGTCGATTAGGTAGAAAGTCTAAACTAAACATTACACACACTTTTTAATTACCAATATTCATATTTAACTCTGTGGTCTAGTGGCTACCATATACGTATGAATATCTGAAGGTCCTGAGTTCGAGTCCCGGGTCGGGCCAAGTTTAATTACTGAGTTTTTCTGTTTAAAAATTCTCAGTACAATCTCCGGAGTAGGACAGTTGAGTTGGGCGGCTGGTATTTATATATGGATATTTCGATTGGCTCCGTGCTCGCTTGGGAAACCGAGTGAAGCGGGTTTAAATACCGGGTGTGACATCTTTAATATTTTCAAGTGCGAGTCATTTCCAACATGAATGACAACATGAACTAGTCTTACGGTGAAGGAAAACATTGTGAGGAAATCTGCATGTCTGAGAGAACCCAGCAGGTTTTCGAAAGATATGTGAAGTTCGCCAACCCGCATTTGGCCAGTTTGATGGAATTTTACTAGCCTGACAACCCTCGTATTGAAGGGAAGCCCGTGCCCAGCGACGGTGTTTATTTGAATTTTGAAGATAACAATAATATTTTCCTTTGTTACAGATCTTGTCCTAAGATTAAAAAGCTATATCTATTAACGAGGCCAAAGAAAAATAAAGATGTAATGAAAAGGTTGCAAGAGCAGTTTGATGATTTGGTAAGTCTACTTACTGTAAATAAAATTATAGGAAAAATGGAATGTTTGCCTTGTATTTCAGCCCTTTTTAACCTGCCACTGCTAGGGGTGGGCCTCCCTTCATTACGAGGGGGATCAGGCCATAGTCCACCACGCTGGCCAAGTGCGGGTTGGCGGACTTCACATGTCTTTCGACATTTTCGAAATATTTGCCTTATCTTAGAAAAATTCAAAGGACTGGTTATTATTATATCCTACATATTTTATTACAATAAAATAAGAGTTATTGGCATATTGTGAACTTTTTTTGTGTATTTTAACTTTCATTATATTATTTTTTCGGATTTTCTCGCGGATTTATTTTGATTTTTGGTTCGCGACGTTTCGAATGCTTTACAGCAGTCATGGTTACGGGAGAGACTAAGATTGTAGATGTCTCAAAAGTTATTATATAAAATACTCACAAATTATACAATGATTTCCAAGACATAGAAAAATAGCATCGAAGTACCACACAATATTTTATAATTGTATTCTATTTATTTAAAACCTGAGGTAGCTCTTAATAAAGGTTTATAGAAACAGACCAACTTAACGACGACAAAAAAGAAGGTTCGTTCGTGTGTGTGTGTATGTATGTATGTGCGCGTGCGCGTGTGTGTGTGTGTGTGTGTGTGTGTGTGTGTATGTATGCATGTATGTACCCATGTATTTTACCCCCTAATATATATGTGCAAAAATTGAGTACCACCTCCTATTTTAAAAGTCCGTATAATTTTTTTTTAAAGATTTACTTAAAAAAGGATTTAATTTTTGATTCCCGACCAAAAATCCGCCACCAATTCACTAAAAATCAAAATAAATGCGCGAAAAATATATAAAAGATGTTTTTATTCAAAAAGTCAGTTTTTTTAGATAAATCTAGTTTTATATTGACGTCTAGTTTGGCTCAATTTGTAGTAAGCTTGCTGTGCCAGCGCTCGCGGGTTCGAGTCCCGCTGGGGGCATTCATTTGTGTGATGAGCAGGAATGTTTGTACTCCATCCATCATGAATTTTTATATTTGTAACTTATGTATATATAATAATTTATGTATTTAAAGTTATATATGTGTAATCCAAGTGTAAAGCAGTGGTAGTCCAGTGGTAACGCGCTCGCTTGGAAGACCGAGTGAAGCGGGTTAAAATCCCGGGTCTCGCACCTCTGATATTTTCATGTGCGAATCATTTCCAACATGATTATCACTTGTCTTAACGGTGAAGGAAAACATCGTGAGGAAACCTGCATGTCTGAGGGAACCTAGCAGGTTTTCAAAAGACATGTGAAGTCCGCCAACCTGCACTTGGCCAGCGTGGTGGACTATGGCCTGATCCTCTATGTTTGTGGCTATGGCTAATGTCCCAACATGTTTATTATTTATTTTATTTATATTTTTTCAGCTTTACGATAAATTGAGGAAGGTAATGCCGGATTTTATACAAAAAATCGGTATTGTCGAAGGCGATATGGGTAAAATAAATCTGGGCATGAGTGATGCGGATCGAAGCAAAATGATACAAGAGGTAAATATGACTGCGAAAATTTTGTATGTGTGTCTGTTTGCTACGCTACGCAACAACGGCTGGACGGATTTGGATGTTTAGTACCCAGATAGACTATAAGCTATAGTAACATATACCCTGTTACGCATGTAGAGATGTACGTGAGCGAAACAGGGGTGAGTAGCTAGATTATACTAATATTATAAAGAGGTAAAGTTTGTGAGTTTGTGACGTTGTAATCTCTGGATCTACTGAACCGATTTAGATGAAATTTGGTAAGAAGATAGTTTGAGATCTTGGAAAAGACATAGAACACTGTGTATCCCGGAAATCAACCCTTAAGGGTTGAAAATGGGGATGACAGTTTGTATTGGGAAGCAAGTTAGGGACGAACCCAAGCGAAGCGAAGGTGAGTCGCTAGTATAAAATAATTAAGTACCTCTTTGTTAATCAATCTGTGTAACTTTTTGTCTTAAATGTTTTTGTTGCCATTACGTGTTTTTATTACACCTAGATTATACTTAAGCATCAATCTTGATGCGTGTACAAAATTGCTTAGTTTTTTTTAATAACCATTGCCCATTTCAAACATGATCTTTATTTAGTGTAGTAACAAAAGTGGTCAAAATTATTTATTCAAGTTAGAATGCCATTGATAAAACCCCCACATACCAAAATTTAACGACCTCGCTAGAGCCGTTTTCGAGATCGCCGGTATATATATAAATAAATATAGCAGAATTGCTCGTTTAAAGGGATTAGATATTGCCATCTTATTTAGGAAGGATACATGCTGCCTAATAGTCTATTTACCTTGACCAGTCCACGTCTCTAAGTAATTTTTGCATGACACTCAATATCTCAAAGGTTAGTAGAATAAAATTATCCGTGTCCCACTTTGCGGCTTATATTCGTAAGATGGCTCTATATAAAACAAAATATTTTTAGTTTTAATAAACTAAAAAATAAAAATAGGTTTTAACCATGCAGTATTATACTGTAAAATATTTATTATTATAAGATGAAAGGGTGAATCATCTAAGCAGTTAAATCTATTAAATTTTATGCAACACAAATGCACTCTTTATTGCTTTTAATTTGCGGATGGGTCGATATTTCTGCATTCACTATAAAAGATAGGCGCAGGACTAAAGATACTCTCCATACTCTCCGAAGCACGAGAGTAAAACCCACAATTTTCCAACTCCGGATTGTTACTGAGAATTTCTTGACAGATTAACCCACTATCTACTTAGTATAATCTAGGTCTGTCGTCTGTACGTCCTGGGTTCGAATCTCCAGATTTATCTACAAATTTATTTCTCTTCTTCCAATAATAAAAATTTATTCTTTCCATCCCAGGGCATCCCAGTAGTCTAGCTGGTTGCCGGTTTCCTGGAAGATTTCTTCCGGGAGCGATCTCTTGGGGCCAAGTTTTTCTGCGCGTAGGTTCTCCAGTTCACTACATTCAAGTATCCAAATTTGGGCTAATATTTCATCCCTTTGAAGCTATGCTTTGCACAGAGGGCTGTTCGTGAGAGCTATATTGAAAAGATGTTTGTTGAGATGACAGTGCCCTTTTATAAGTTCAACCACCGTTTTTAGTTTAGTTCTACCGAGGCGTGTTAATTTGGTTGTTAGACGTTTGTTAGGTTTGGGGAAGGCTTCTTTGGATTGATATGACATTGTCTTCTCCATTCTAGATATTCGCGAAGTAAATTTTGGTAAAATGGCCACTCCCTAAAAGTAACCGACAAAAGAATTGAATTGTAATTTTAATCATCAATTAAGGATTAAATGTAAGAGACCCTAAAGTTAAAGTTACGAAGATATTAAGACATTTTTGGAGTCAATTTGTAACTTGGATTAAGATATATATTTTTCCCTTTGTCTATTTTCCAGGTGGAGTTCATTTTTCATGGTGCAGCAACAGTTCGGTTTGATGAGGCGTTGAAGACCGCTGTGGAGATCAACGTGCGAGGCACGAGGGAGATCCTGCAGCTAGCACGGGCGTGTACTAAGCTACGAGCTCATGTACATATTTCAACCGCTTATAGGTATTTTGATAATGTTTTCTTAGAATCCATACTAGTATTATTTCTGTATGATTCTCATCTCTGAAAAATCTATACTAACCGTCAAAACGTACCTAGTGACAAACCCAAGCAGAGCGAAGGTGAGTCGCTAGTATATTATATTATTTAAAAGACATTCAAACATACCCATATATTTTTGGATATAAAAAAAAATTGCTCCGTTGCGTATCTTTGACGATTGCTCCATGGTTCTTAATAATAAAGAATATACTTATTCTTCATTTGTTTTTTTTTTCAGTAATTGTCCCTTAAGTGAAATTGATGAGAAATTCTACGAGAGCAACTTCTCCGGTGACAAGCTGATCGACCTTGTCGAAAATATAGATGAAAATACTTTAAACAACGTTACGCTTGGGTAAGCTGTTACTGTCCTCTTACTAGAGAGTTGTGTAAGATTCGATTTCGATACGATACATACGAGTATGTATATACACGAGTAATATTATAAACATTTTATACGTATTTAGCCCTTTTTAACATCCCATTGCTGGGCCAAACTGGGCTCATAGTCCACCATCTTGACCGACTTGACTTTCGAAACTTTGCTAGTTTCCATGAAGATAAAATATAAGTTTAGTTGATAATTAATATTATAAGTAGTTCATAAAAACATGCCCCAAAAATTTCTATAAAATTGAATTTTTGAAGATGTCCTGTTTTTAAATAATGTTTACTTAGTCACTCCTTTTTCTTCTTTCTTGGACTAATTTTTATAGGGTTAATAGAAAAATTGCTATTAGTAAATAAAAAATTTACAACGTTCCAGGTAAAACTCCCAAATTATTGGAGTTCAGCTTGTGAGTGTTTTCAAACAGAATTTTGAGTCCTAATACCATTTTTTTTCTTCCTATTTTCTTATTATAGTCCTAAAAGGATTTGACTTACGAGTATGTACACTTAAAATGTACCTAAATACAAAAATTTGTATGTATGTGCGTTTGTTGCTTCTTCACACCGTTACCCGATGAAGGTACGACGGATGTTGTTGAAACCGAATTTCATCTGGAATGGAAATAACTTAGTATTCTGGATTAAAATGTAGCCATCTTTATATTAGCTTCGTCTACATTGGTCTCTGTGTTGTTTATGTATTTTTGTTAAATGTGCAATAAACAATCTCTACATATAATAAAATTGTAACTAAGCCGAATCTGCACATTAATTTTTTTTTGGAAAATCTTATTGAAATAGACATTATTGTCGATACAGAGGCCGAATTTACAGTTTTTAGAATTTTTGTCTGTCTGTCTGTCTGTCTGTCTGTCTGTCTGTTACCGCATCATGGAAAAACCACTGGAGGGATTTTGATGAAATTGGGTATGATGATAGCTGTTTATCCGGGTCAACATATAGGATACTTTTTACAGCGGGAAAATGTCTCATCTCTGAGAAATCTATACTAAACGTTAAAACGTAAGGAGGGACGATCCTGAGCGGATCGAGGGTGTGTCGCTTGTATATTATAAATATAATATGTAAATATCACAACTAACAAGTAATGTTTTTCTCAGATTATTAGGGGACCACCCCAATACTTACGCATATACTAAGTCGGCAGCGGAAGACATCGTGCAGAAATATTCTCAAGGACTCCCCATCGCTGTATTTAGACCTTCCATAGGTAAATATAGATTTTAACTGTAATAGGCTGTTGTTAATCTTATTTAAAATAAGGACGAGTAAAAAATAATTATTCGTACACTAGTACGACGAATCTCTACTAATATTATAAAGAGGTAATGTTTGTGAGTTTGTGACGTTGTAGGAGATAATCTCTGGATCTACTGAACCGATTTAGATGAAATTTGGTAAGAAGACAGTGTGAGACCTTGGGAAGGACGTAGGATACTTTTTATCCTGGAAATCATCTCTTAAGGGGTTGAAAATGGGGATGAAAGTTTGTATGGAGAATCAAGCTAGGAACAAAGCGAATCGAGGTTATATATATATATATATATATATACTAGCGGCTCACCCTCGCTTCGCTCGGGTTCGTCGCTAGGTACGTTTTAAATAGATATAAAAAGAAAAAATCTTTCTTTCTCACATTTTAATTATATGTTTTAATACTTACCTATTCCGGACTAAGAGAAATCCAAAAATTAAAATATCATAAAAATTGGAACGCGGTCGAACGGGATAAAAAGTATCCTATGTCCTTCTCCTGGCTCTAAACTACCTCCCTGCCAATTTTCAGCTAAATCGGTTCAGCCGTTCTTGAGTTATAAGCGAAGTAACTAACACGACTTTCTTTTATATATATAGATATATATATATATATATATATATATATATTATACTACTGGAGATTGTTATGACCAGATAGATACAATTTACCTAATAATATAGAGATTTTAGTAGAAATTAATTTAAATGAAAGTTGTCAGTAACAAAAATGTAAAAATATACCCATTTTTTTTTTGTTATTTGGTTACAGTGATATCAACGGCGAGCGAACCTGTACCAGGATGGATCGACAATGTATATGGACCTACCGGTGTAAGTAGATAATACACATACAAACATACATAAACAAACATATTTCTCACCGGTTGTGTCGAATGTTTGAAAGACATTAATAAAGAGTGTACTTGTGTATCTGACACAGAAACATACAAACAAACTTTCGCCATTATATTAGCAGTCAGATAGACTGTCGTCGAATTAGTGCTTATTTGTTCAAATGGCCTTGTATTTTACAGTTGATAATTTTTTCCTCTATTTTGAAAACGAAGCTTTCTTTCTAAGAATTATATATAACATAATACAAAACATTTATTTTATACGAATAGAATTGGCATTTAATAGTCAATAATAGGGAATATGCAAGTGATTTAAATAAAGGTGAAATGTTTTTTTATAATATTTATTGCTTTTAAATTAATATTTTTTTAATGTAACTTCTTTTTGACTAAGAAAATAACTATAAAAAAAGTACAAAAACAAGTGGGAAATTCAAGGTAGTTGGAACGCACGCCATTGGTCAGACCGAATATGACGTCAGAGTATATCATAACGGAGCGATTAGCGATTTTGTCGCTACAAATTGCGTCGTCATTTTTCTGTGTATACCATACTGTGACGTCACGCCAAACACGCCACATGGCGTGCGTTTAAACTTTAAAGTATTCCTAATGGTATGATTTTTTTAATACTAAATTTTAGTTTTTTTAAGCTGGATTTTTTTTTGAATTATATAACGATGTAAGCTATTGTATAAAAAATAAATATGAGTATTCCCTATCTATACAGATAAATAAAATTGAAGTGTCAGTTTGTAATGTCAAAATAACAGCGTTTTTCTAAAAGCATTTGAAATAATGTACGGTGCTTATAAGAAAAACACAATTTAATACATTTTTGTCTGTCTATCTGTCGGTCTGTTTGTTCCTGATAATCTCTGAAACGGCTGGACTGCTTTTGACAAGATTTTAGAAAAGTCGCTAGTCATGTACAAAAACCCTTTCGGTAAATTAGTCGCTTGGAAAAATAAACACTGACACGACGATGTATGCAACAATTACAGGTGGTAGTAGGAGCGGCCGTGGGCCTCCTGCACGTGTTGCATTGTAACTCGCAAGTCGTAGCGGACTTGGTGCCAGGGGACTACGTTGTAAATGGAGTGATAGCAGCAGCCTGGAAAACCGCCAAAGACTATCCTGGGAATTATGAACATGCTCCCGTTGAAAATTCACCAGTCATTTACAATTATGTATCTTCAGAACAAAATCCTTTAACTTGGGGTAAGCTTATGAGGGATTACGTAACACATTATACATATTTATTACCTGCTTATATATCAATTCGTCCATTCGATGGAATGTTTTAAATCGAGAAAGAAACTTTGAATTTTGAATATTATCTTACAAGATTCATCAATTCAAAGGCGGATCTATATATAGGTTTTTTGGGCTACAGTCCTAAGATACAACGGGCCCCCTGTTGAAAACAATGGATAATGTCTAAATTAAAATAATTAAGGCCATAAGAGCTTGGTCTAATAACCCTGAGGTAAATTAACTAGAACCAAACAATAGCATTATCCTAATTTCGTCTAGTATAGATTTTTGAAGATAAAATGACCATTCGTTTAATTCCAATTAATTAAATTGTCATTTTAGACCCCTACGAAGTTGGCCCAGGGCCCCCTAAATTTCTCCCCCCCCCCCAACGTGCGTTCACCTTGTCGTGGTGGGGGGGCTCAGTAGTGCCCGGCAACCCAACCGGGTGCGAAGCCAAGAAACGCACAGGGAGGTTGCCCACTTCGGTGGGCGGTGGGAGGTGGCCCTCTTCGGAGGGCGGTGTACCATGCGGGTTGCTCCTGGTACTTCTCTGATAGCAGAGTGGACCTTGGAGCAACCCCGTGGTTGTTGTGGTCTGCTTCGGCAGACCTGCCGTCGGGGCGTCGTAGTTGAATGCGTAAGCGATCCTGCGACGCCCCATTAAGACGGGGGAAGGCTTTGTTGGGTTTTAGTGGGTACTACTGGCTTTGCCGGTGAGTCCCACACCTCGTGCGTAAATCCATTTCCCAACGTTAAAAAAAAGGGCCCCCTAAATTTCTGGTTCTACCCCGTTCATCATGACGATGAAAATTAATTGTCAATTGGTGAAGATAAACCATGAAAAACATAACATACAAGTACCCCCACTTTTGAGAACAAGTCAAAAAGTGACGTTATAATATTTTAATTTATTTATTTTCAGCCGAATTCATGAACTACACAGAAGTATATGGAATGAAAATGAAGTCGATGCAAGCGGTGTGGTTGTACCTCTTCTGGTTGACTCCCTCACAGTTTATGTACAACGTATCCGTGCTGTTAATGCATTGGATCCCGGCCTATATAGTGGATACTATAGCTATCTTAATTGGCAAAAAGCCTATGTAAGTCTAGTGTTCGTCCAGTGGTCGAAATTCGACAATAATCATTGTTGAAAATTTCAGCAAAATATATTATGAATAGAGTTTGCCTATCTTCTTATATATAATATAAAAATGAATTGCTGAATTGTTGGTAAGCGCAAATCTCGAGAGCAGCTGAACCGATTTCGTGAATTCTTTTTTTTAAATATTCCTTGAAGTACGAGGATGGTTCTTACGAAGAGAGAAATTTAAAAAATTGCCTGAAAAAGCCTAAAAACAACACTTTTCTATACTCCCATACAAAAGATTCGTAATAATACTTAAAAGTCAATTTGAACTTTAATACCATACCATAAAGTTTAAGTGTTAGTGGAAGTTCCGGGAAGGCAAAACATTGATGGCAATTGAGTGAAGTTAGAATCGTATAAATATTAATGTCAATATTTGTCAATATTATTAATAAAAATAATTAAAATGTATATGGCTAACGCTGGCTAATAACTATTTATATCTATTTAAAACGTACCTAGCGAGAAACCCGAGCGAAACGAGGGTGAGCCGCTAGTCCTATTTAAAACAAACGAACTGTTTAATTTAAAACTTTAGAGTTATAATAAAATATATTAATTATTTTACAGACTAAAAAAAGCTTACCAGAAGATCGGAAAGTTTTCAAAAGTTATAAGCTTTTTCGCCATCCGCGAATGGAAGTTCCACAATAAGAACACACTACAGCTAATAAAGGAGTTAGATGACACGGACAGACATATATTTAATCTTGATATAGAAAGCTTGAAATGGTCGGAATATTATAAGGATTACATTAAAGGGGTGCGTTTATATTTGTTAAAAGACCCCTTGGAAACAATCCCTCAAGCTCAAAAGAAGCATTACAAATTACTATGTGTACATTATTTCTTGGTTTCTCTACTGGCTTTTGGACTATTAAGGCTTATATGGTTTTTGGTGAAGCTTTTTATGTAATTTATTCTTGTATTTTTAAGTTAAGTGTTTTTGTAAGGTATAAATGTGACTGTCAGAGCAAAAGTGGCATAACTTAAAAAAATATACTGACACTACTTATTTTATTTTGAATGCTATTTTCGTCTGTTGATTCAGTTAAAGTGAAATATTTCATCAATATTTAAAGATTTATCTGTGTAAAAGTTACATTTATAATATTACATAACAAGCGTTTACGTTTTAACGTTTAGTATGGATTTCTCAGAAATTAAATATTTTCCAGCAATAAAAATTATCCTATCCTGTTGACCCGGAAACCTAGGTATGATGATCATACCAAATTTCATTAAAATCTGTCGCGTGGTTTTTTTGTGATGCGGAAACTGCGTGATACTATAGATTCCGCCTCTGTAATCTGTATCGATAATAATGGTTATTTCAATAACATTTTTCAGAAAATATTTAATATACAGATTCGACACAATTTAAACTTTATTATATGTATAAATAAATTTTAAAAGAGAAAATCGCTAGTTAAATGCTATTTGCATATGGGATGTTTTGAGTTGATATTTTAGAAGATATAAGCCGCGCCAGAAAAAACGAATCTAAAATGGAGTCTGAGTACTTGCAGTTTGACAGACGATAAGGACAGCGATACTCTATTAGGAATAGTGTGCAAGTGAGAGAGCATGATCGACGCCGCCATTTTAGATTCGTTTCTTTATTGACGCGGATTATACTCGTATTACAAAATAACTCGTACTCAAAGCCTGGGCAAGATCGACTTATCAATAAATAAATATGATTTTTTTTAATTTAAACTTTGGTTAGGCCACTTTTGTGAGGATAGCTTTAAATGTGATATATTTTTAGTGTTTTTGGTGTCGTGGGCAAAGTTATGTGTTTATACATATTTTGTGTGTTTGTTTATTAGTTTAAAGCTAGTATTTACTTAAGTAATTGATATAACAAATAATTTTAAGTAACGCAAAAGTAGACTGGAAATATTTTAGATATAATTGGTTCATATATTATTACCTACAGGCGTTTTATTATGTGACAAGCTCGACTTGGATACCGTAAGTTGAGAAGGGTAAGGTTAGCCTTCTCGTAAGGCCTTTTTTTATTTCAAACCCTATGTCATAGAATGTCCGGGAGCTACGGAAATGTCCCGTAGACGCGTAAATCGGGTGAATGTCACTTCGTTATTTTTTAAATATATCTGTTTTTTTTACATATTTTATATCTATTATAATTTAAATTATTGTATAAAACTGTACATGTAAATTTATTGAAAACGCCCTAAACTATATTTTTTTATAATTTATAATGTAATAATTTTATTATTATCGGTTTTAATTTTTGTATAAATAAAAATGAAAATATTTTTCTATATGTGTAAAAATTATGTAAGGCGCCATTTCTAAAAATATCCGTTCGCAAAAGAGGCTACATTTAGCTTAAATTTGTATCGCAGTGGTTCCAAGAAAATAACATAGGTACATTTTATTCCAAAAACTTTTATTATATTCATTTATTTTTTTCTATTCGTTTTCATAATACCATCGGAGTACCTAATAAAAATTTTAAATTAGTATTTTTAAACTTTAATAATAATAAGTAAATAAAATTAATAATAAAACAATTGAATTTCAAATTTGTATGTTATTACTAATCATAACAGATCGTTTTTTGAGTTTAGATTTTGTACGTAATTTGTCCTAGAAAATGTGATGTGTTTTATGAATGGCCCCTTGTAAAATTTATATTTACATTATATAAATTCTTTTTTATGAAATGTGACGTAAATAAATTTATGTAGATTATAAATAAAAAATATATTTTATATTTTCTAATTGTATTTTTAACCCCTGATGCAAAAACGACGAGGTGTTATAAGTTTGACGTGTCTGTCTGTCTGTGTGTGTGTGTGTCTGTCTGTCTGTGGCATCGTAGCTACCGAACGCATGAACAAAATATATTTTGTTTTTTTTTTCTTTAAAAGGATAATTAGTCGGGAATGTTCTTAGCTGTTTGATGAAAATCGGTCCAAGATGGTCGGGGGTTTTTAAATTTTCATTTTTTTTTAAAGTCAATTATAAAATGCTAATTTATTCTCTATTTACTTATACTCATTTAAAATACAATATGCCTTCATAAGCATTGAATATTTATTAAATAGTAAATTTATATGAAAATTTCGTTTATTGATCTAGAAGAATATCCGAAGTAAAGTTGCCTTCCGTTATTTGGAATCTAAACAAAAAAATAGTTCAAATATTAAAGATTTTTTTAAAGCTACTGTTTCTATATTTCACTGAACGATCCTTTTACCGCCCTTCTGCTGGGGGTGGGTCCCCTCAATACCCGTTTAAATCCCGGAAAAAAACTATTGTTTTTTATCTTCCGTGGTATTTTTTATCAGAATGACAACTTTTAGAATTGAATACTTTTTTTACATAATTAATACTTTATGTATAATTTATATTATTATTAAGTGTAAGAATAAATATAATTGATTTTTGAGTGTTTGAATTATCAAAAAATATTATACAATACATCAAATTACCCCTACGTGTAGATCCACACTAATGTAAGTAAATAGTCAAATTATTATCTATGGTCACAGTCTTGTGACATTTTTGAATATTGGCAAGTGGCAACAAAAGTTTGAATTGTCATTCAATTTTCGCAATAAAAGTACTGAGTGATATTTTTATTTTTAAAATTTATTTTACTATTAAATTAATTAATTAATTATAATGTCAGACAATAAAGATGTCACGCAAAACGACGCCGATCCTGAGCTCGAAGATTTAATGGATAGTAAGTGTTTAATTGTTAATGAAAATAACCTATTTGTGTTACACAACATTTCTATTATTAATGATATATTTCCTGTTCAAAATTCACTATTATAAATTAACGTCAAGGACAAAGTTTGATTTTAATCTTTCTTGTTTTTTAAATTAAATCGTTACTTGTAATTCTCTTAATAAATTATAGCAATTAAATACTTATTTAAATGATGTAAACTTTGAACTCCACAATGACTTAGTAACGAAAAAGGCTAAATGGCGCATCTAAAATTTTGGTCATAAATTTAATACAATAATAAATTGATTATTATGAAACCCTGATTAATGAGATGTTAAATGAGGATTTTCCATATTAATATTCTTTTTCTTATAAAATGTATATAAATACATGTATCTTATTATATTGCTAAAAGTTTTATACAAACATCTTTTTTAAAATTTATTCAAAATCTTCAACCAGGTGCCTTACAAGACATGACAAAAAAGGACCAAAGTTCGAAACCGGAAGACATTCCACAAAACATGTGGAGTGAAGAGTTTATAAAAGAGGCCGCAGCTCAATTTGAAAGCAATATGGCAGCTATTTTAGGGGGATTTAGTGGTGTACCTGGTAAGGATTATTGATAAAAGATTTAATATTAATTTTAGTTATAAAAATGTTTGGGTCTTCGTTGATTCATATTTTTTCATACAGTGTAAAGCAATTAATGAACATAATTTTTTTGTATAATAGTAGTTTGTGGGCTTAGGTAACTAATTATCCTGGTTCATCTAGTAAAAGAAATAAAAAAGTATTTTGCTAACAAATGTAACAGATGGTATTAGCTCTAAAGGACAGTTAGGGAATAGAAATATACGGTATATAATAATAGGGAATGAAGGGTGAGGTAATCAGGGTGAGCAAAGCGAGCCCTGCACTATCCTACAATCTCTGCATTTTTGTGGTACACTTTACTGAGATAGTATCACACTTTCAGGTTCGGGCTTTGACATAGTATTTTCTATTCATATTATATCACATATAATATTAGTATTGATTTCACTGTAAATTTTTCTTACAGAGGACCAAATATCTCAAGAACAAATAGCACAGACCTTTTCAAAGATGGCAGGTAAGTCAAATATTTTGCTATTTTGCTAATAACTAATTTATATATATAATATCAAAAATTTATTAAGACAATAGAGTTCAATAATAGATATAATAATATGAAAAATACAACTGATTTCTGATAGTTAATGTTGATTTATCTTAATGAGTCACATATTCATTTACTATTGATACAATCTTTGAGATACCGAATAAAGATTTTTATTATAATTTTTTTTTATTTCTTTAGTTCGGGGGGCACATGTCTTGTCACCAAGTTACTTAAGTTTTTAAATCCGATTAAAAATTTAATGCAAGTGTCACTGAGAGTGTGTTTTTGTGTTTCTATCTGATATAATTTAATATTTATTGCAAGTTAAAATTAGTAGAAATTAAAAGTAAACTTAAAACTTGATTTATTCTGTATAATTTTTTTTTTATTAATTTAGCTTAAAACATTTACATACAGCAAACTAAATGATTAATGGTAATTTTAAATCAGACTACTTTATTTGTAAAAATTTGTATGTCTTTGTGTATGTCTTACTCCTCGAGCTCAAGCAGCTGGCCAAATATAAATTTCATCCAAATATGGATGAAATTTAATACATTGTGACTCCAGGAGTACCATAGGCATACTGTTAGACAGCTAAAGACTTATTGTAACCGGAGCTTAAATCTAGTTTTTGTAATATTCAAATTTTGTTTGTATATGCATGCTGTGTCTGCATCTACAAAAATGCAATCCCGTGTATTAATTTTTTATGCAATTGTTGTTTTATACGTTTTTGATTGTCATTTGTTTTGTGGACCAATAAACATAAATAAATAAATAAAAACGCTTCTGCGCGAGACAAGGGTTATGTCGCTATTGGTATATAAGTATAAATTTATTTTTCTTCCATAGAGGCAGCGGCACAAGTGTTAAAGCCTCAAACAGAAGGTGCGGTCACTGAGTCCCCATCAAGTGATCCGGCCACTCAGGAAAAAATTGACGAGGTTTGTACTTTGTATCACCTCACTGCCCCGGTGGTCTAGTGGCAGCATGTACAGCTGCAGATCGAGAGTTCTGGGTTTGAGGCTCCCGAATGATAAGGGATAAAAAATAAGATAAGAATTTCTAGGTATGTGAAAATCCAAAAGGTTGCTTCATATTAAATGAAAAGATTTGTTTAATGTCTTAGCAATTTTTTAGGGGCCTTTAGTCCTTAATAGACCACGGCCCCCCAAAATATTTTTCTTTAAATCGAGCTCTGTCTTATAAGCAGGGGCAAGCATGGTGGGTGAAGTAGAGGGAAAGTGAGAGTTAACTGCATATTATTATAAAACAATAATAATAATTATTATTTAGTCCTTTTTAACGACCCACTGCTGGGCCTGGGACGACCCTCAATGTGTGGGAATCCGAACATAGTCCCTATTAGTAAAAAGGAATTATTTATGAGTATGTCTTGCAATGTCTTTGACTCAGAAACTATATAATTAATTCGCTATTCTCGCCAGGTGTCCGCGGCCATCTCGCAAACGTTACAAAATTTGAACACGAACACAGAAAACTTACAGACGCCATTTTCTGAAGCGGACTTGGCGAATATGTTCAATAACTTCAACCTCACTGAAGGGAACCAGGTGGGTTGGACAATTATTATTTATCTACAATGAAACTTGTCATGTGCGTATGTTTGTTTGCAATTTCTTCATACTGTAACTATGAATCTGATTTGGATGTAATTAGGAATGGAGATAAATTATATTTTTTTATGATTCATTGAAGGCTTTAAACGCTTAACATAACTTATGTATGTAAATCTATGCTTTTAATTTTTATTTTCAAAGAAAAAAGACAACTCATAGTACTATTTTTGTCTTTTTTTAAAATATGTACTTGATATTCAAACTCTTTCCAACTTTCAATTTGCTATTTCTTTTAGGGTGTACAATAAAGAGTTATTATTTAGCACAGTATAAATCCTACCAATAAACTCACAAAACTATGGATTTTAACGGAAGTCTTGTCAATCTAGGGTTGTCAAAAAAAATAACAATTTCTTAACCATTGAATTACCAATCGTATAGCAAGTTACAGTGATACAGACAACCCTAAAGCTGTTTCCCGACTATCATATAAAATAACGTACGCCAGTCGGAAGTCGGGTGGCGCCGCACTGCTCCTTTCGACTTTGTGGAGAGTCCGCTGGACTGATGTTAATATCAATTCTTATATTTACATTTGTATGTATTTTCAGGAAGGCAATATGTTTCTGCCGTTCATGCAAGGTATGATGCAGTCGTTGTTGTCCAAAGAGGTGTTATATCCGTCCCTGAAGGAGCTGGTGGAGAAGTACCCCGCCTGGCTCGCGGACAACAAGGGGAAGATCGAGCAGAGTGAATATGAGAGGTGGGTTTCTGGTCTGTTGGTGGATGGACATACATACAGATGTGTATGTATAGATTAATAAATGTCTTTAATCAACATACGTGAAATATACAGGTTGGAACAAACGGACGAGACAGTTTTTACAAAAAACTTATCATAGCCAGTAATTGAATCAACTAAAAATGCAACAAAGTACAACATTATTTTATCGAACTAATTAATAGGGTCTATGGTAATAAAATGTCTATGAATAAGAAATCTTACAAGTCGTACATATCGACTTCTAACTAACATCACTCAAATATATGTTGATGTTGTACTTACGTTTTTACATTATTAGCTGGTTCGATTACCAGTTCTGGTAAGCTTTTTTAAAAATATTCAATAAAAATCTAGTCATGTTTCCTTTCAGTGAAACTTGATATCTTTAATATTTTTGTTACTTTTTTCCACGTGCCATTAGTTTGTACCACCTGTATAGAATACATCCGTCTGTGAGCTTCAACTGCTGAAGAGATTTCGATGAAATTCGGCATATAGATTGTACCGTGGTCACTACTTAGAAACAAAACAAAAATGGCGACCAATTGCTAACGTCAGCTTCTATTGAAGTGTCCAATCCCCTTTATTCGATTTATTCAATTTATCTGATTTATTCAATTTATTTAACTTAATCGCAGATTCGAGAAGCAACAAGAGCTAATGAAGAAGGTTTGCGCCGAGCTCGAGCCGGAGCAGGAGAGTGACCCGGAGGACGTCAAGAGGAGACGATTCGAGTCTGTGCTGAAAATGATGCAACAGGTGATTTGGGCAAAGCTCAATTCTTTATTTAATATTGGTATTTCAAGAATGACCTGAGAAGACCTGAGAAGAATTCTGAAGAAGCTCGGCACGAGTGTAGATTTGTTTTACCTAAAATATCAATGATTAAAAATATTACAACTTATGGTTAAATGAGGCTAACCTTTGCACGTTGCCTCTTTTACGTAGTTTATTATTAAATCGCATTTAAGCTTCCACAATAAATAGGCTATAAAATGTGAGTATTCTTCAAATTGAGCCGGTACTTTCAGAGATTGGTGTGTTCAACCGAACAAAAGGGGTTATATACATTTTGATTTACAACAACATAAGTATTTTAAGTAATAACGAAACGGTTTTTTATTACAACTTTTAATTTTGATATCCATACATATTCACTCACCATCCAATGATATATTGTCCCTCCCATTGCAGATGCAAGACTTGGGTCAGCCTCCGACAGAACTAGTGGGTGACATCTCAGTGCCTCCAGAGGGTTTCGTGGCGCCCCCCACGCAGGACTCACAGTGCTCACTCATGTAGTGTGATCATATCAGATAATAAATACGATCATGTACAATGATCATTTGTAAAACGATGATCACTGTCAATAAATTTATCCGGTTGTGCCAAAATGTACTGAGTTGTATGATTATGGGGTGGTGTGATGGTTTGTGAGATGTGCTTTGATTGTGGAATATTTGATGGTTAATTTCAAAGTGGAGAATATGTTGTTTCTTGTTTGAACTTATTTATTTTTGTCAAAGGGACTCGAACTTTTTTCTATGGAATGAGGAAACTTAAACTAAAAATATCAGCAATTCCTATATAAATTTTAACGAATATATCTATTATTTTATTAAAAAGTACTTTTTAATGATTTTTATAACTTTAAATATCTCGGAAACGTACCGCCATATTGCTAACATATTTTATTTGTCTAAGCGCCTCCTTTCCACATAAATCAATTTAATTGTATGTCGTAAGCTTAGAAAAAAATGGCGTAGTAATGACAAATGCTTCGAAGGTTCTTTTTTCTAACTAGACATATCAAAAAAGATAAAGTAACATTGTTTACATTTTTTTTTAAATATTTTATTAGGATTGAAATAGTACGTTTTGTCATAACAGGATCAAATAACAATATATCATATAACAATTGCGATCATAAATAATATGTGAATAAAGTTTATGATCGTTTTAAATAAATTCAAATAAATATTGTGATTATTTTCAACAAATTGTGCTCTATCGGTAACGATCATACGTCTGCGATCGTGTGTAATAAATGTGATGATTATATATATAATGATTGATGATTAAAATTTGCACAATTTTTTATATCATCTGTGAATTGTATGGTGTTCTGTTTCCTATAAGTATCAGGTACATAGGGTACGTATATATTAGTTATGTAATTATGGCTATTAATATTATTATTGTTATTATTATTATTAGAATATATTGAGCTTAGTTGTTTTTTTTTCTAAAATTTATTTTATTTTTTATTTAAATGAAAGCCGTTTTATGTATTATGTGAATATTTTATTTAAAATAGTATTGGATTTATTCTTTTTAACACATCACTTTTTGACATGAAATAAATTTAGTCTAGCTTTTTTTTTGTTTTCGTCTTCTTTTTGCGTACTAAAGAGAAGTTTTAAATTTGTTGGCGATTTTTTTTTTACTTTTTAAATGAAATTAATGATATTTTATGAAAATGGAAATATATTAAGTGAAGTCGATAAAAAGATTTTTTTCTAATTCATAACGTATATATAAATTTAGTTAATGTTTCGTTTAATTTTTAATAAAAAATTATTGAAAAATATAATTATATTCTGTGGAAGTAAAGTTTTTGAAAAAAAAAAATATTACTTGAAATTACACTTTGAAAATGTCTCAGCCTTGATAATTGAAAAAAATAGATACATCTTCGATTTCTTTTGACGTAAATAGCATTTATGTATTACATAATATAGTCATTTTATTTTCCAGTACTATTTGTATGAATGATTTGTTTTTTTTTTGTGTACGGCACAAAATATTTGATTGGTTTGTGTAATTAATTGTGTTGTTAATAAAACGATATTATAGTTGATTTGGTTTTTTACTTCCTCCGGTATATTTAAAATGTATGAGTTTTTCATACAACAACCCGATAATATAATGAACAATAAGCACTTCACAGAATGAACACATTGCTAAAAAACGTTTAATTTATACAGAAAAACGAAAATGAGGTGTCTGTGTGTAATGTCAACGGCCAATACCTGTCTTTTATTCCAATTTGAATTTAAAAATGGAAATTAAAAAAAAAAAATATACTAGCGACTCACACTCGCCTCGTTCGGGTTCGTCCCTAGTTACGTTTTAACGTTTAGTATAGATTTCTCAGATATGAGTTAATTTCCCGCAGTAAAAAGTATCCTATATGTTGATCCGGATAACCAACTATCATCATACCCATCAAAATCCTTCCAGTGGTTTTTCCATGATGTAGTCACAGAAAAACAAACAAAAATTCTAAAAACTTTCACATTTATAATATTAGTAAGATTATAATATTACAATGGAATGTAAAATGTTTATAAATATCTACATTAATCGTATTTCAATGAATACAGAAGACTTCTGGCCGCACATTCGTTCTGTCTCTGTCGCACCTATCCGCTATTTTTAGCTAACGGCAAAGAAACACTCAGTCCACTCTATATGTCTATGGTTTTCTATAATTATAATATATTTTTTTATATAGAACAGATAACATATTGCTATACTGTAGTGCAGATGCTCCATCACAAATAGTTATTGGATAGCCATCGAGACATTTTTACCGGACTGCGGCGACACATCTATACTTCTATACTAATATTACAAAATGGTGAAGTTTGTGAGATTGTGACGTTGTAGGGGGTAATCTCTGGATCTACTGAACAGATTTAGATGAAATTTGGTAAGAAGATAGTTTGAGACCCGGGTAGGACATCGGATACTTTTTATCCCGAAAATTGGAATGAAAGTTTGTATGGGGAATTAATTTTTTATATATTTAGAACTTCCGTCACCTTCCCTATTCATAAATGTAAGCCAGAGTGCCTGGTTTATATTTTAGAAGAAGGGTTGCATTTATTATACTAAATCTAAGCCTCTTCTCATTCTTTGGCTACTCCAGTGTATTCGTTGCTTTTGGTACACGATTAATATCAACACAAATAGTTTTGTAATTTATAAAAAACTAGCGGCTCACCCTCGCTTCGCTCGGGTTCACCTCTAGAAAAGCACAAACAGATCTATCCCACGGGAACCGTTCATTTTTCCGGGATGAAAAGTAACCTGTTGTTTGACCGGCAATATAAGGTATCAGCATGCCAAATTTTACTAAATTAGGTGAATAAGTTGTTGTGTACTAAGCTGTATAAGTTACTATAGTTTTTTAACTATCCCACGAAAACTCTTTAATTTTTCGGGATGAAAAGTAGCTGATTTGTTTTTGTCATGTATGAGCTATATTATTGTAAAGTTTCATTAAAATCCAATCAGTAGTTTTTGTGTACTAAGCTGTATAAATTGTTATAGTTTTTTAACTATCCCACGGGAACTCTTGAATTTTCCGGGATGAAAAGTATCTAAGATGTTGCACGGGGATATAAAGTACCACCATGCAAAATTTCATTTAAATCGGTCCAATAGAATCGGAGATTAGCCCGTACAAACAGAAAAACAGACAAACAGCTCGCTCGGGGTCGTCCATACCTACGAATATGTTGTATTATCTCTTTAACCATTTGTCCAAATTATATGCAGTAAAAGGGAAAAATCTTTTGTTTTAAATATTTTAGACGATAAATTTACTTATTTTGATAAGAATTCAGAATTGTTGATAATATGACCAATAAATATAACCTACCGATTTAATTTATTTTTGTAATATAAAAAACTATCTTTGTGACTTAAATATAAAAGTTAGACATATGCTGTCGCGGACTTTTCTGTAGGCATTATTAAGCTCTACAACTTTTCTCTAGAACATAATCATATATCTCTCATCGTTAAGGCAGCGTTCGTTAGAAACGTTTTCGTTTGACCGTTTTTTCTCCGACTTACTTTGCAAATCCGACTACCACGAAAAAGCCTTTTCATTTTTCGGGTTAATATATAGCCTATGACACTCAGAAAGAACGTGGCTTTCTATTGGTAAAAGAATTTTGTAAATCGGTTCAGTAGATCCAGAGATTACCCCCTACAACGTCACAAACTCACAAACTCACAAACCCACAAACTCACAAACTCACAAGATCACAAACTTTACCTCTTTATAATATTAGTATAGATAGATGAAAGGCCGCATTAGAAACTGCAACCGAGTTTTCATTACCCTACTAGTTAGTTGTCTTTTACAGTGGTAGCCTAGTGGTAACGCGCTGGCTTCGGAAACCGAGTGAAGCGGGTTCAAATCCCGGGTCTCGCAACTCTGATATTTTCATGTGCGAATCATTTCTAACATGATTACCACTTGCCTTACGGTGAAAAAAAACATCGTGAGAAAACCTGCATGTCTGAGAGAACCTAGCAAGTTTTCGAAAGACATGTGAAGTCCGCCAACCTGCACTTGGCCAGCGTGGTGGACTATGGCCTGATCCCCCTCGTATTGAAGGGGGGCCCGTGCCCAGCAGTGGGACGTTAAAATGGGCTGAATACATACTAGTCGTCTAATAACAAGTATATTTTAATTTGTTTATATTAGATAAATAATTTGAAGGACAGAAATTATGAAGGGCCTTAATTAGAACCGGTCAAAATAAGGTCCAAGGCTTGGCTTAACTATATACCTACAAACATGCGCATGCGCAACATTTGCCAGTGGCTACAATGCTAGTCTTTGAGTCATCGCAATATTATTTGTTAAAAGCTTTCATAAGATGAATAAATTGGCACGAAAGATTAAAAAATGAAACTCAATATGCATACAAACACGTATAATTCACTTTTTGTTTCGACACTTTAAGAATATAAGACATTAGCAAAATATTCACAAATTTTATGACAAACGTTTATTAATTATAAACTTACGTAAATTTATTTAAAAGATTTATCTGGACTATGTATTAACAATGTTGTTATATATAATATAATAAAATTTATTGAGTCTGTTTGTTACATCTACATTTGGTAACATAAGGTATATTAGTAATATTTAATAATTAAAGTTTGTGACCTTAATAGTGACATATGAACAAATAAAATGAACTGACAAAATATACACATATTATTATAATAATGTATAATCATAAAATAATATCATTTTAATTTCTTTATATTTATTGCAGAAAAGGTTTGTGTTTCAGACTAGAATTCAATAAAATTTAGAAACTTTTCATTTAATTGTCTCTCCTTTTAAAAGTATCGATATCAATTTTTTATGCATATTTCAATATGAAAATTGCAAGCAAGATTTGAAAACGTGTTTAAATATTAATTTTTACATTGAACTATTATTATATTTATTATATTAATGGCAGAATTATTACACAATTGATCTCAGACCTGATGTAATCATGTAAATATGATATTCTTTATGAACTCCTTTAAAACTGATAATAATTATTAACTTTTAAATAATTTTATAATATATTTGTGTTATGGATATCAGATAGTTGATACTCTACACATATATAACTTTAAATACATACATATGATAAATATAAACATCCATGACTGAAGTACAAACATTCGTGCTCATCACACAAATGAATGCCCCCAGCGGGGCTCGAACCCACGACTGATGGCATAGCAAGTAGGGTCACTACAAACTGAGCCAAACGTATTAACGAATCGAGTGCTGATGTCTATATTTTAAAATATATATCTAAATTTGCGGCCAACATCAGGTGCCAAGTTTTGTATAACTCTCACATCTCACAATATCTATGCAGATTCTTATAATTTCATACTTTGTTACCAGGGAGCTATTGAATTTATGTAGATATTTACAATGTACGTGATAATCTATATTCTCGTCAACTTATTACTAACTTTGAGGTCTCTTATTCATATTAAATCTATAATAATTCTATCGTAAACGCCCTGCCAGGAATCTAAATATATAATACCCAGTGGCCATTTGGAAAAGTTTGTGCACCCAATATAATCTGAAAATTAAAACGAAATATTATTAAAAGTTCATCAAAATCATTCTTGTTTTTAATTATATTGATAAGATTGATAGACAATTTGCTTAACACACATGCAGACATATCAAACTTATAACACCCTGTCGTTTTTGCGTCGGGGGTTAAAAAATGGAAAATGACAAACTTTTGGTATGGTAGATAGGTAAACGGTACCCCCCCCCCCAACGTGCTTTCACCTTGTCGTGGTGGGGGGGCTCAGTAGTGCCCGGCAACCCAACCGGGCGCGAAGCCCCAAGCCGGCAGCGAACCAAGAAACGCACAGGGAGGTGGCCCACTTCGGTGGGCGGTGGGAGGCGGCCTTCTTCGGTGGGCGGTGTACCATGCGGGTTGCTCCTGGTACTTCTCTGATAGCAGAGTGGACCTTGGAGCAACCCCGCGGCTGTTGTGGTCTGCTTCGGCAGACCTGCCGTCGGGGCGTCGTAGTTGAATGCGTAAGCGATCCTGCGACGCCCCATTAAGACGGGGGAAGGCATTGTTGGGTTTTAGTGGGTAGTACTGGCTTTGCCGGTGAGTCCCACACCTCGTGCGTAAATGCATTTCCCAACGTTAAAAAAAAAGGTAGGTAAACGGTGTCATATTAAAATAAACGCTTATATGGTGCGGCTACATTAATGCGCGAATATTCGTGTCGCGTTCGCGCGATAAAAACATCGTGTACGGGCATACGCGATGTTTTTGTTTACATATAAGCACAAACACAAACAATGACGTTTGCCTGTTTCGCGACCGATGTAGGCGATAATTCTTGCTAAGTAAAATGGGAATTGTATTGTATGTCGGTAAATTATAATTATTATTATGCGAATACCGTTTAGATTTGGAGAGAGCTTATTTTTAATTCTAACCCACGCATCATATACCCACATTTTTTCTTCTGTGGTCACTCTCGGTTTCATAAAATTGAATAAACTCTAATATTTTTTCATTGCTCCAAACCATACTGTAGTTGCGTCGTCACTTTCCCGCCAAAATATCACACGTCCGTTCCTCTTAACGTCTGGACTGCAACTCAAGTAGAGATAGGCGTTGAATGAACGGACTAGTTCAATCAACCGTTCGACGATACGTCGATGGTTCGACGGTTCACGTATTTCAAATGAACTAGTTCAATTCATAGACTAAGACAGTCTGTCTCGCAACGTAAACTAGTAACGATAGACTGTCTAGCGTCTATAACTACATTGAAACGTACGTGTACCACAGTCCACGATTTGAACTAGTCGACGAAAGTTTCGTTCACGCTAAATACGTCGACGACCCATCGCTAAACTCAAGTGGCGACTGGTAAAGTGTAACCACGCGAGCGAATATTGTCGCGCTAAAACCTTTTGATGGGCGCCAGTTTACCGACTTCATTTATACCATTTGTATGAATACTACGCAATGCGCCGAGTGGCCGAACTACTCAGCCGCACTTGTCGCGATAATACGAATATTAGCCGCATCCTGCTAATGCAGCCGCGCCATTATACTTAAATGATATTAAACAAGTTTAAAACAATATTAAACAAACCTTTTCAATTTATTCCTAGCTTGGGGTAGAGATTCTGTACTATCCTTTAAAATGAATCGTCTGATACCAAGCATATACGATCCAATATATGAGTCCCAATTAAATTCTCCAGGCCAATGGGCGAATGTGTTGGAGTCACTGGCAATACTGGCTTCATTATGTAAAGCTGTCAATTCCGATACACTAAATTGCCATTCGTGATTGGCAAAGTATTCTCCTGTAGCCGCAGCCATTTTAAACCGTCGTGCCAGTTTCATCATACTATAAAATAAAACGTGCTCAGATATAACTATGTATGTATTATGATCATAAATAAATTACATACTTTTCGTGATACTATGATACCGCGAATAATAAAGAACAAAATTAAAATTAGACTGAAAATTGTACAAATAAAATTAATTATTGAAAAAAAAAATCCAAATTCGTAAGGCGATAGTAGAAACGAAATGATTATATTTTATATAAAAAATACTTACATTGCTTTCCTTCCTTGAGCTCTAAGTAATAAATCGTAGAGGAAGGCGGGGAGAAAATGGCAAGTAATTTCCCAAAAAGTATTAATGAATCGGGACTCCGTAAAGGCAAAATTGGGATACCACATTACGTATCTGTAAAATAATATTTTATTATTGTTTAGAAATAAAGTAAATATTAGTAAAATTTAATTATCTTGTATCGCTCGTGTAAAAGCTGTTTTTTTGATGACCGAAAAGAGAATTATGGGTAATCTGTTTGATTAACGATTTTTTTTTAATTTTCAGTAAGAGCATTAACATTTTTTAGCTATTACTTAGTTGAAATATATTTTTTTTAATTAAATTTATATCTAAGCCAAAGTAAAGTAAAAAATACTTTTTTTTTAAATACACGTTAACAATTTAAATTTTCAGTGGCCTGTGTACATTCATGGCATGGGTTCGAAATCATCCGAAAAAAAATTATATAGGCTGTAAATATTTGTATCCATAAAGGCATATAAATTAAAAACTCCCGACACAACTCTTTAGTGCGTGGCTTCGAAATTAAAGCTGTTTATGTTTTAACTCCTTTACTTTATTTGTCCAAAAATTGTAAAGCTGTACTCCTTCAATGTAATGCTTTTTATTTCCTTATTTAGTACGAGTCTTGGGCAATTCAAAGGCTTATAAAACCTTAGACTTACTTTGTTGGGTTTTCTCTCGCCCATTTAAGGCAAAGTTGTGTGAAATGACCCCACTGTAATGGATTGATGGATCCAGATGTGACATTATACACGGGACACCGACCGGGCCTGAAATATCAAAAAATAAAATATTGGAATATATATATATATACATATATCGTTAATACTGTAGTAACACCAAAAATATAAAGGAGCCAAGTTTCTCATAAAATCAAAGTAGGTACGCTAGAGCTTTACCAAATAATGGGAATATTTACTCGTATAAATGAAAGCCCTGATATATGCTAGATTAACCGATATATAAAGGGATTTTTCGTGGGATGTTATTATATCAATAAAGATCCCTGGAAGAAGGAAGTAGTATTTTTGAAATTCAACATGTAATAGGTCCTACCTATGCAAGGCTTCCGGTTAGGTAATAAACAAAAAGAACACCAATAATAATGTCACCGATTTCCATATAAAATTAATGTGATAAACACACGAGCACTAATAAATTATAATAAGTTTTCATTTATCTATGGAACAATTAAAATGTTAATTTACTTACTTTTTGGAACCCTGTCTCCATGCAGCCAGTATACAACTATTCACTACCATGTCAACTGGTACTAAGTCCACTACGTATCGTTCCCGGCAGTATCCTGAGCGGTAGGTCCCACGGGATATCTCCATAATAATACCTAGAATTTTTTTTATTAACATACTAATGTTAAATTAAACTATTTTTTCGGTCATTTTGCCGTTTTATTTAGATTTTTAAATTTCGACGTATCTATTGTTTTACAGCAAATGGTAGCAGATCAGCAGTAGTAGACCATGGCAGTCAAAATTATTCCAATAATATGTTTAGGATATATATATCGCGTAAGTCTAAGAAAATAGATAAAATAAGTAAATAAATTATATCAAGTCTAAGAAAATATCATAACACAATAATATTGAAAATGTGAATGTTTTTGAGTGAGTCAGTAAGTCATTATTAGTTTGATTTTCATATTTCACAACGTAAGGTCTCGACGGATTTGAGTGAAACTCGAGTCGAAGCTTAAACTATTGCTTAACACGTAGACTTATTTTAAGGACGATTCGTAGTTAGTCCGATTAGTAGCTTTATACATGATGATTAATTTATAAAACACAAATCGTTTTACGTCCTAGATTAATATTTGCTTTATATCAAAAGACTATAATGAAATCTCTCGCAAGTATCCTGTTATAGATATATTTTCAAATACAATGTACAATTTTAAAAGAAATCTTAAAGATATCATTTAGTGTTATATTTCATTTATTTTTTTAATATTATTGTCATTTAAGTAGAGTGTATGTATTACCTAGTTATAAAATGTTGTGCATGCCTGTAATTTTGAGTTATATACAAAAAAGAAATTTATTAACGTTATTTTGGTGATAAAGTTTGTATATGTACTCTAGTTGGTAAGCCTTATTTAATAATAAAAAAAAAGACGTGAGGAACTCGCGGAAGACACTATAGAATAAATAAATATATTTAAATTGCAAGTGATGTCGTCGGAAAGAAATAGTTATAATTACACTTAATAAATGTTATAATTATATTACTTACCTGTTACGCCGTAAATGTTGTCGATCCATCCTGGGAAGGGTTCTTGGAAAGCAGCTGTCACTGAAATAATATATTTATCATTATATATTTTAAATTAAAGTTGACTTTGTGTTTGTTTGGGCTAATTTCAGAATATACTGTACCAATTTTCATTAAATTTTCGCCAATAGAAAGAGAAATTTTGTAGGATAATTTATAAGTATTATTAAAAATTATAAATAGTGTAAGATAATTTTGTTCATTAAAATCGTGAAAAAGCAGAATTAAACCAATTTTTATTTATGTAATAGAGGAGTTCTTACAGCCGCCTTACCCCGCCGCCCTACCTTGCCATTGTCACCGAAGTTACAAACATATGCCAAAATTTAATTAAATGCCAAAAAAGTCTTGTTTTTAATACTAATTATACCTACTATTAAAAAACTAAGAAAAAAAGATTTTAATAATCTGCAATGTCACATACATTATACTTAATATATATATACTTAATATATATATATATATACATTATACTTAATATATATGATAAAAGTGACAACTCAGCCCAAACTCGAAGATTTTACTAGTAGCTATTGAAGTATTTCACTGCGCATCTTCTAACTTCACTACCAGATCATTTCGATTGTATTAAATGATTGTTATAAATATATTTTTACAATCAAAATAAATTCAAATCGATACAGCTATTAAAAATAGATTATACTTATAGTAGGTACAAATGAAGCTAATAAAAGCAAGTCAAAATATCATTTCACCACAAAAATTAAAGCGATATTACGAAAAAGTTATGGAAAACAAACAAAAAGCACAAATCCTTAAAAAAACAAAAAAATATTCGCATTTCACTGCAATATGCGACCAAAGAAACTAAAATGGCTATAAACCTCTAAATGGAATAATATACGTCGGAATATCGCTAAGGTAGATTTTGTTGTTTTATATGTACTTTTAAATCAATTAATATTTTTTAAATAAAACTATGATGATTTACTCGTACATAAATCATAAAATTTTTAGCCTTATTTAAAACTAGCATTGCCCGCGGCTCCGCCCGCGTTCAGATGACAAAAAATCAAATTCTTAGGTTTTACATATTAGTATACTCTTACAATTACATTGCAGTTTTTGTATTTTTTTTCAAAAATGAGATATTTTCCCGCGGTAAAAAGTATCCTATATGTTGACCCGGATAACCAGCAATTACCATACCAAATTTCATCAAAATCCCTCCAGTGGTTTTTCTGTAATGCGGTAACAGATAGACAGACAGACAGATAGACAGACAAAAATTCTAAAAACTATAGATTCGGCCTCTGTATCGATAACGACCTGTATCGATATCGATAACGAATAATGTTTATTTTAATAAGATTTTCCAAAAAATATTTAAAATACAGATTCGGCTTCGTTACAATTTTATTATATGTATAGATGTCACATATTCGCGTAAATCTAAGAAAGTATTAAATCAATCAATTTTAAAAAAACTATGTTGTCAAAAAAGTGGAGGTATGTGTACGGCCATTGAGGTTATCATTAGAAAAATATTATTAAAATTAGTTCGTAATTGACAACAATATTGAGTGCCTCTTTTTTTGACGCCGGTAAAAAATCCCACCATTTCAGCCGAAGTCGCAGAAAAATACTATACCGTTACGACCTTGTACTTCTATATGAATGTATGGGAAAAGCCATGTGCTAAGATCGATAGACATGAATATTTGAAACGATGAAGTTTTATGGCGATTTATTACTTTCAAAAGACACGTTGTAATTGGATATCAATTAAAATACTATCTATCCTCTATTTTCTTATTTAATAATCCAGATCCGGGGGCCCTGGGTTCGAGTCCCGGTTCGGGCCAAGTTTAGTAATTGAGTTTTTCAGTTAAGAAAATCTTAGTTACAACCCGGAGTTGGGAAGTTGGCGGTGTCTCGTCTCAGTGATTTAGAGAGTACGTAAAACCGTCAGTCCTGCGCCTAATCTCTCTCTGGTCGTGTCGAGTGTCGTCCCACCGGAGTATGAGAGTGTCAGAAATAGAGTGTCTATATGAATATCTATACATATAATAAAATGGTAACCAAGCCGAATCTGTACATTAAATATTTTTTTGAAAATCTTATTGAAATAGACATTATTATCAATGCAGAGGCCGAATCTATAGTTTTTAGAATTTTTGTCTGTCTGTCTGTCTGTTACCGCATCACGGAAAAGCCACTGGAGGGATTTTAATGAAATTTGATATGATAATAGCTGGTTATCCGTGTCAACATATAGGATAGTTTTTACTGCGGGAAAATATCTCATCTCTGAGAAATCTATACAAAAAGTTAAAATGTAAGTAGGGACGAACTCGAGCGTAGCGAGGGTGAGTCGCTAGTTTTAAATAAAACTATCTTTTCATGGTATGGTGATAGATAGAATCAGAATATTGTCTAATCATATACATACTATTGTGCACTATAAAATCCCCTATAGTTGAGTAGTCTTAAGGAGATTGGCTGTCGTGGTCAAAATCAGTCTGGAGGACGTTATTATCAGTGATCATAATTTAGTACTCACCAATAGAGGGTCTCACAATGCAAACAGGTAGTTCAGTATGACTGTATACAATGGATTCTGCTAACGCCTTCGTCAACGTGTACGGATTCGGGTGTTCTCCCTAGAAACAAAATTGTCACATTAATATTAGTAAAAAAACCGCACGAAAACTCGAAAAAACGCGTTTTCCCAGAGATAAAACTAATCTAGATCGATATCGCCCTCGAAACCCTTTGTATACTAAATTTCATGAAAATCTATATTTATATATATATATATATATATATATATATATATATATATATTTCTCAGGTGCTTAATAGTAGCCTATTCGTTACTCTAGGTCTTATTCTATCTGTACACTAAATAGTCCGATGCAAAAATTTGTCTGCCTATTTGTCTTTCTCGCTGCAACGGCTCAACGGATTAGAGTGGAATTCGTGTTCAAGATAGCTTATACTATGTTTTAATGTTTGGTAATGCATTTACGCATACCACCTGCATACATATAGGTGGTTATGTGAAAGAAAAGTGGAAAGCTAGTGCAACCCACTAAAACCCAACAGAACCTCCCCCATCTTAATGAGGTGTTGCAGGATCGCTTACGCACTCAACCACGACACCCCGAAGGCCACCTACCGACACAAGGGCTTGCTCCCACCGCCCACAAAATAGCTTATATCTTAAATTAAAATATAGAGATTGGTTCGACACATTACTGCTAAAATCTATACATATAAATAAAATTGAAATGTATAATTAAGTAATAACAGCTTTTTTACTAAATGCATATGAAATTTTATACTTATATGAAAAAACAATTTTTAATATTTTTTTGTCTGTCTGTCTGTTTGTCTGTTTGTTCCAGCTAACCTCCGAAACGGCTGGACTGATTTTGACGGGACTTTTACTGGTAGATAGCTGATGTTATGAGGAGTAACTTAGGCTACTTTTATTTTAGAAAATGAATTGAGGTCCTGCTCAAAAAGGCTAGTATTTGCTTAAAGTTGCCACTGACTGACTGACTATTCTATGAATATTTGATAAAACTCAAAACATTATAATTATTATATTATGTAAAACATTATTGTTTGGCTTCGTGTTTAGTTCTATGACACTCTGCATATATAATTCTTTAGTGAACTTCTTAATAAATTAACAAACACAAAAAAACAAACCTGAATTGAGTATCTTTTTTCTTTTCAATCGGTTAAAAAATGAAAAATTACAGATGTCATCGTTTTATATCGTCATGTATATACTCGTAATAATATCGATTTCACTGACATACTTACATATAATTTAAAATTGATTTTTTTAAATAGGTGCCTTATTTAGTTCATTTAGTTCATATTTAAGATATTAAAAAAAATCGATCCGGTTTTAATTAATTAATTATTCCATTTCTATTCGATTATTTTTATTTAATTAATCGTATATTGAAACTTTTTCGAAAAACTGTTAATTTACTTGTACTTAATAGTTTTTTGTCAGTCATTCTTAATTAAAAAATGGGCTGACAGGTTTTAACGTTAAGTACTTTTTTGACCCCAAAAAGGAACAACTCAATTCGGGTATTCATTTTTTACCCGACTGTGGCGAAGTCCAAAGGAGGTCTATGTGTTTGATACGCATTTAGCCCTTTTTACGTCCCACTGCTGGGCGTGGGTCTCCCTTCAATACGAGGGGGATCAGGCCATAGTCCGCCACGCTGGCCAAGTGCAGGTTGGCGGACTTCACATGTCTTTCGAAAACTTGCTAGGTTCTCTCAGACATGCAGGTTTCATCACGATGTTTGCCTTCACCGTAAGGCAAGTGGTAATCATGTTAGAAATGATTCGCACATGGTAATATCAGAGGTGCGAGACCCGGGATTTGAACCCGCTTCACGCGGTTTCCCAAGCGAGCGCGTTACCACTGGGCTACCACTGCCTTTTTGTGTTTGATATGTATGTATGTATATACCTATATATAAAATATCCACGTAGCAAGACTCGCAGCAAGTATAAAACAATATGTCTTCGACCGTCTACCACCATGCAAAATTTCATTTAAATCGGTCCAACAGCTTCAGAGATTAACCCGTACAAACAAGCAAACAGACAAACAAAAAATTTGAAAAAAAAAACTGGTTTTGTTCTATTCTTCTTCTTACACTCCCTGACTCGGTTTTTAGCATTTACTATGTACAGACATTCGACCTCTACAGTTTTATTATATGTATAGATATTAATTAATTATCGAACCTGTATTGTCCTCTATTTAAATAGAGGACTAATATGTTCGATAATATATCTATACATATCTTAAGATACAGATAATAATAATATCTATATCTTAAGATACAGATAATAATAATATAATAATAAATAATTAAGAATGATTGACAAAAAACTATTACCTACATGTTAATTGACAGTATTTCGAAAAAGTTTCAATATACGATTAATTAAATAACAATAATGGATTAGAAACGGAATAATTAGGTACTATAATTCTAATTTCTAATTAAAGATGCGAAGCAAATCCATACTAATATTATATATGTGAAAGTGTGTTTGTTTGTTTATTTGTTTGTCCTTCTTTCACGTCGAAACGGAATGACGGATTGGCGTGATTTTTTGTGTGGAGATAGTTGGAGTGCTGGAGAGTGACATAGACTTTTTACCGCGGGAGATTATCTCATTCCCACGGGAAAACACGTTATAATAAACCCTAAGAAAATTATCATCAGAATTATATGAAACTTGGTATTAATGCTTTTCAATATAAGTAATAAATACGTGTTTAAGCATTTTTCGAAATTCATCCCATAAGGGGGTAAAATAGGGTATGGAAGTTTGTATGACACCTACCTTTTTCGAGTTTTTTTGTAGTTTTAGCGTGAGCGAAGCCGCGGATTCTGCTAGTCTAATATATTTCGATATGTAAAATACATCTCAAATTGATGTATAATATTTTAACTATATTAAAGTTTATACCAAATGATATTTATCTATTATATATTCATATTTTAAGATATTGTCGGACGGAACCGACTTCGAAAATATCTGATTATACATCTATTCTAAATGAAAGCCGCCGCTTAGTTAGCATTTTAGTGCCTGGAAGTCGGTTTCTTTAAGTTTTTATTTTTCCATTTTTCAGGTTCGCTTCAGGCGTCTTCGAGTAATCGGTGAACATAAATAAAAAAAATCCGACGAATTGAGAACCTCCTTTTTGAAAGTCGGTTAATAAATGTAAATAAATCAAAATTGCTAACGGATCATATTATAATAAAGAAAAAAAAGCAAAAATTATGCTATCTCTCTTCCAACATGAAGTAAAGTGATCCTTAAAAAAATATAAAATAACATAGAATTAGACAAAACCAACCTTTTAAATAAACGGTCATGAGAGAGACAGTCTCTCCCGTGACCATGATTGCTGTAAAGCATTCGAAACGTCGGGAACTGAAAATCAAAATAAATCCGCGAAATAACCCGAAAAGATTGTTTTATTTAAAACTAGCACAACCCGCGGCTTCGCTCGCGCTAAAACTACAAAAAAATCTAAAAAAATAGGTTTCATACTAACTTTCATTTTTCATGTTATCCCCTTATGGGATGAATTTCGAAAAACTTCTAAAACACGTATTTAGTTATTTGTAATAGAGCATTAATACTAAACCAAGTAGCAAAATAGTCTTGGCCAAAGTAATATATAAGAACAAAAGCTTTACAAAAGGTTTAAAAGTGTCCTGATTAAGAAGGGACCTCTTATAGAGGCATGAATAAAGACGTTTTGAACTATAAGAAGATAAAAACTTATAGTAAACGCTTATAGATATATAAGAACTCCTTGTAAAGTACATATAGAACAAAAGTTATATAAATAAACTTTGTAAGACGAATCACTCTTGATGATTTTTTACACTCAGTACAGCAATTTATAAGATTGTTTGCTCTTATAACTGCCTTGGGTGAATGTAATATAAGAGCACTGCTGTTACTAAAGCATGATATACAACTGTTGAATAACCTAAAAATTGTAAGTGTAATTTGTCTTAGGCAGTGCGTTTTAAAGAGACCAGCATGTAGGAAGATGATTTATAGGAACACTTGAACTCACAAACGTCATAAGCCTGCTTTATTAAGTATATTAAGGACCTCACCTATATAATTTTCCGCTGTGGTTTGTTATATGCGTAAATATTTATTTATAAATATATATATTCTTTTGCAATCAATGAAAATCCACTTCAGTTTTAGGTATATATGTGGGAGATAAAAAGCCATCTAACTTAGAAGCGATGTTAAGTAGAGTATAATTGGAGAAATTTATGTATTAAATTTAAAAATCATCATACGATAAAGCGAAATAATATACTACAAAAATTCCAAGCCAAATAAGAAGAAAAAACTTTGAGGGCTGTTTTATAGAGATACTTAACTACATAATCAATAATAATACATATGTTGTGATATTAACGTTATTAAGTAAACATTGTGATTTTTGGTTCTTCTTTTTTACTAAGGAACTCTAAACATTATGAAAAATGGCCGGCGACAATGTTTAGGCTAGTGTTTATTTAAGAGCAATTGTCTTAAAATGTACTTAACTGTCCTTAAATAAAAATATTAAGTCTTACAGTGGATTTAACTAAAAGCGATTGATCTTTTAAATGTTCTCATAAAGTAACCTGTAAGTTAGATTTGTAATAATGTTAGAAAATGGCGATATTTTCTTTTATTTCACATTTTATTAATTAAGCTATTATTATTTAAAACATTTTAGAAATGGCCCTAAGATGTGATGTTATTTAAATTAAAATTTATTCGATTAAGTCGACTCCGCAGGTAGATCAACATTATGATAGATACGTAGAAGCAGCTAAGAAATATATTGGTATTAAATTAATATCAAGTAAATACTTCCATTTTTAATATAGATTATATTAAAAACACAACTTAGGCTTTTCATGATTTTTGGTTCAAAAATACTCTTAAATTGGGATCACAAAGAGACAAATAAGACGAATTACATTTAGAACGACATTAATAAGCTACACAATGGCATTTTGCCCTTACACCATGCCAATGTAAAACACTTGTAACACTTATTTGCTTGTACAACAGCATTAGGCAGATCACTGTAAGTTAGAAAACACTCTTCATATGACCATAATACAATAACAGTAAGGGTAAACGCTCTTACTAAGTGCGCCCAATTCCACACTTACCAACGTTTGTAAGAAAAATGTACTCTTAAGATACCTGTAAGACTAAATTTTGCTAGTTGGGAAGTTTCAAAGAATTCTGATCATATTTTTTTGTTTGGATTGTATTATAACGTGTTTTTTCCTGTGGGAGAGAGATAATCTAATGGTAATAAGTATTCTATGTCACTCTCTAGCCCTCCAACGATCTCCACACAAAAATCACGCCAATCCATCATTCCCTTTCGACGTCAAGGACAAGAAGGACAAACAAACACGCTTATACATTTATAATATTAGTAAGGATGTCAAATATTCGCGTAAATGTATGAAAGTTACATAACAAACCTGTAAAGACTCAGCAATGATGTCAACGGTTTCAGCTGGTAGCATTTTAGTGCACCTCACAATACTCTCTGGGTCATAGGGTGGAGGATAGACTCGTTCCTCTATATAGCTTTTGGGTGCATTACTGTATGCTGTCGAGACATGGACCAGGGCCTGGAAGAGAAAAGATACTTTAGAATTGTAATAAGGCATTTAAAATCATGATATTACGTTGCAATAAGGCTGTGGAACTAGCCTAGAACGCGCTCATTTGAAAAACAAAGCGAAGTGGGTTCAACCTCCTGGTCTATCACCTCTGATATTTTATTGTGCAAATCATTTTTTTGTCTTACAGTGAAGTAAAATTATGAGGAAACCTACATATCTCATTATCAGGGAACCCAACTTGTTTTCAAAAGACATGTAATTATTCTGAAGTATAACCCAATCATAAACAAAGCCAACTCGCTCTTAGCCAGCGTGGTGGACTGGTTTACTTTGCATAGACTAAATTACATTGTATCATAAAAAAAAATTAAGCTAACCCTTACTTTTTTAAATAATTTGTTTTTTTTTATAAAAGCATTCGATTTAATTAGTGTATTAAGATCTTTTGAATTTTTAAAGACTAGATATAGTATGAAATTTTAAACATATCCATTTTACTTGTTTATCCATATCTTCAATAACTTTCTCAAGTTGCTATTAGTAACTAATGTATATAAACTTTCACCAAGTACATTGTAGACTTTCACAAAATTTCTAACATCCTTACCTGCAAAAGTGGCATATCTCCTGCTAATTTTAGCAATGTAGCTGTACCCTGGACATTTAAAGTTGAAGCAGCGTGCAAAGGCTCGGTGAACTTCACAGTGGCAGCTGAGTGGAACACTATATGACATCTCTTTAAGAGCAATTGCTGATCAACGCTGACTCCAAGATTTGGGGCAGAAACATCTCCGGTGATAGGATACAATTTACTCAAACGCTCTGGCCATCTAGATCGTATACGATCGAATACCTGTTGAATGATCTTGTTAAGTAACTAGTAAAATTTGCGGAAAATACATATACAATATACATAAATATTTGTTTCATATATATTTTGCCAAGCGAAAGTGCAGTTATAGGTTAGACTAGCGGCTCACTAGGGTTCGCCTTTAGGAAGACAAAAACAAACCTCTCCCACGGTAACCGTACATTTTTCCCGAATAAAAAGTATAGTGTATATGTATATGTGTTATTCCAGACTATAATCTATCTCTGTACCAAATTTCATCTAGATCCGTTCAGCGTTTCACATTCATAATATCAGTATAGATTCCCAGTCTCACTTTCTTTTCTTTTGTTCTACATAACTCCGATTTTTCAAATCATTTAAGCTGAGTATGAGCTATTTCATTTTAGAAACTAGACTTTGTAGCGAAAAATTTAGATTTCATTTTAAAATCATTATTTCATATTTTTCAAATAAAATCGTACAAATTATACAAACCTAATTCCTTATTTGGAGATAGATGTACATACCTGATTCTTCAATAGTTCCTTATACCTTTGTTCCACAGTGAGCCCTCGTTTAGGACGCATCAAGATATAAATGGTATCAATTCCTGGACAACTCCTGAGAAGTTTTTCCAGTAGGGCCTTCCCAACGAAACCGGTTCCACCTGTCACTAGTATCACGGAACCTTTGAAGTAATCTGCTATCTTCTCTTCTTGATAGTTCTGGTTTAAGTCTCCAAAATCGTTAAAGTTGGGCAGCATTGGGTTATTTCCGTTGAGGTATTCCATGTTTTTCCTAAAAATGTATTTTTTTAAAGAGTTTTATTAAATTTCCTTTGTAGATATAGAGAGAAAAAAGGAGAATTCAAAATTACATTAATATGATAGAATAAGAAGGAATTTTAATAGTACTTACAAATTTTCTATATTTTCGCACATTTTTACTGTTTTTTTTTTGGTAATTTATGGCGAAATTATCTTCCACAATATTGAAATCTGTAACAAATAATGTTAGTGTTACTTTATTACATTCATTGATTTACAAAAACTCTGGATACACAATTAGCGTCTCAAAAATGTCCTCAAAACGATGTGCATAATTCGAAATTATGCGCTTTTTTCAATCTCTATTGTTCATTGCTTTTCGGATGACAAAATTAAAACGTACGTTGTTTCGTTTAAAAAAGTACTTTATGTGGTGTGCGTAAGTTCGAATTTGTGTTTAGACAATTAGAACTTTCGATTTTTAAATTTTATTCTTTGGTTTGTCTTAACGTCACGTGTCGACGCCACTTTTTGAATTTGTTAGAAAATATATTTGTATGTTTTTATATATCAATGATTACGTTGCCTTAATTAAGAACATTTGATAAAATCTGTCCGGTTTTTTGGTGATTTGTGACATAATGACACAAATTGTACAAATTTTACATAATTTAAAGCAGAATATTAAGTAAAATGTAGAGACTTAACGTTAGTGTTATTATATAAATGGCTAGTATGTACGGCTGAAGATCGGAAGGTCCTGGGTTGGAGTCCCGGGTCGAGCAAAGTTTAGTTATTGAGTTTTTCTATTTAGGAATTCTCAGTAGCAGTCCGAAGTTGGGAAGTTGGCGGTGTTGGTAACTCTTACCGATCAAGTCGAAGTATCGTTCCATCGGATTTAGAAAATGAAAAGGAATAAAGAGTGCGGACAAACAAACAAACATTTTTGAATTTATTAAGTAAGTAACAATTTATAATAAAATGTGAATGGATTTTAAGATGAATTCTGCAATATTTGTATATTGTTTAACATTAGGCAACCCAATGAACTAAAGACACCGGTAGAGTTTAGTTACATAACTATTTCGAAATGTCTAACTCTTATTTACCTTGGCTTAAATATGTTATTTCAAGGGAAAGTATATAAAGTGATCTACTTAGGCATTTATGCATAATAATTATGTAATACATAGACAAAATATATAAGTACATAGACCATGCCTATTAGTCTATGTGCTAGTCCAGGTTTTAGTCTAACAGTATTCTAAATTGCATCCAAATCCGTTCAACCGTTTCAGCGTAAAGGAGTAACAAATGTACACACATACATATATAAACTTTCTAATTTATAGTAGTGGTCCGGGTTGTATAGAGAAAATAATTACGTGTTTAAAAAATAAATGACCAATTTCTATGCATGGATTTTCTAAAGGCAATCAAATAAAAGTCCAATATATTAAGGTTTCCTTGAAGCTGTTGGGAAGTTCTGCTGTAAGCTTTATGGCTCCATCATCAGCTCAACTCGATGGTTCAAAAATATTATATTGTCGTTTCGATTTCATATAAATATGTATATTTGACTATTAAAAGGGCTACATATATTTAACTGCCCAAATGATGAAATTTGGCCTCTTTTAAAGTGGTTTGATTTGGTAGCGAAATGGTCATAAATGGTCAGTGATTTTCAGTAATTGGTCAATACTTTGACTCTAACTACAGGAGTTTAAAATTTCAAGGTCATCGGAAAAATTTCGGCGTCTTAAATAAATCCCAAAGATCGCATTTAAAATTACTCGTATGTATATCAATTTGTCACAGGAGTAAAAATTTCAAGGACCTCTATATCATCATAGTACCTCAATTTGATTGGCTGAACTGTTTTAAAAAAGAAAACGCTTCGTTGCAATAATTATGCAAGAGGTCAGGTTATTCCGGCAATTGGTCAGCGTTGTTTTGTTAGCAATTGGTATGTGTAATAACAATTATACCAATTGCTAACAACTCAACGCTGACCAATTGCCGGAATACCCTGACCTTTTACATAGTTATCGCATGGAAGCGTTTCCTCTTTGAAAGCAATTCATCGATCATATTGAGGTACTATGAGGATACAGAGGTCCCTGAAATTTTAACTACTTGTGATTATTTTTATACTGCTGATCAATTATTGTAAACTTTTGACCAATAGTGTGTTTTTTGTAACTTTCCAAGATCTTTGCTTGATATTGCAAAATTATTATTTTTAGGGCATGCTAATTAAGAAATTTATGAAGAAAAAATTTGACAACGTCAATACAAAATTTATTGTGTAATCGAAATTTATTTTAAAATATATCCAAAAATAACATTAATAATTGAATTAATAGTATAAAAAATGTTTTAAAACACAACAAAATCGAAAGTGCATAATATTTAACACCATTCAAACAAAGAAAGACAATAGCATTCCCAAGGAGGGTTGACGTCAGGCAGGCGGCCGGTCGTAAAACTTTTGCCACATCCTATCAGCAGTACACTGAAGATGTACTGCGCCGACCCCAAGTGATTTGGGAAATGGGCAGGGAGAAGAAGCTAATTAAGAAAGTCAACTTTGATTTTTTTAACTTTTCTAATTAGTACGTGAATAACTTTGACCAATTATCAAAATAAGCTGACCAATTGTGACCATTTTGTGACCAATTTAAATAATTTTAGATCCAACCTCTAGGATTCATTCGCCAATTTTTTTCTGATAACCTCGGAATTTTAAATTATCTGTAGTTAGTGTCAAAGTATTGTCCAACTACTAAAAATCACTGACCATTTATGGCCATTTCGTAACTAATTCTGACCTCTTTTTAAGATGCCAAATTTTATCATTTGGGCCTATATATTATACTCAGTGTCAAGTGAGGCTTATAAAAGCGTGTGAAAAAGGAGATTTCACTTGTGTGTATAAAGCTAAACGCTTCCGCCGGTTTTCGGCATCGTTAAATCGGACTATAAGAATTTAGAAATTATGCATACATGCGTAAAGTTAATATTTCCTACGAAAGCTAGCCTTGACATGATTAACCTTAACCAAAATGGCAAATGATGGCATAATCGTCTATGGAGTTAGAATGCAGTGGGAGAAGAACGACTGCTGTTACGCTATATATCTAAACCTAAGACGGCTAATAGGCAGTGGTAGCCCAGTGGTAACGCGCTCGCTTGGAAAACCGAGTGATGCGGGTTCAAATCCCGGGTCTCGCACCTCTGATATTTTCATGTGCGAATCATTTCTAACATGATGACCACTTGCCTTACGGTGAAGGAAAACATCGTGAGGAAACCTGCATGTCTGAGAGAACCCAGCAAGTTTTCGAAAGACATGTGAAGTCCGCCAACCCGCACTTGGCCAGCGTGGTGGACTATGGCCTGATCCCCCTCGTATTGAAGGGAGGCCCGTGCCCAGCAGTGGGACGTTAAAAAGGGCTGAATACAAGACGGCTAATTCTTAATCTAAATGATTTTGCTGGTGATTTATGCTATCTAGATCTGTATAGACGACACGTTTGGCTCAGTTTATAGTGACCCTCTTGCTGTGCCAGCGGCCGCGGGTTCGAGTTCCGCTGAGGCTAATCTTTGTGTGATGAGCACTCTTAGCATTCTTAGTCTTGGTGCTTGTATTTATAATATGTATGTATTTTAAGTTATATATGTATAGTATATTAACTATCTAGTATCCATAACACAAGCTTACCATGGAACTAGATGGTGCTGTGTGTTAATATCACAACACAAAAAAATCCAATTACAACGAGATGTCACGTCCAATAACCCACCTTTAATCTACTACCACAGTTACGTCAACCACTTCTTCTAGACCGATTATTTATTTATTTTGTAAATTGGAAAACTGACAGTATATATAAGCATAAAATGCAAAATACATCAGAAATAATACACTTAGCCAATAAAGTTTCCACTTATACATAAATATAACAGAGTAAACTTACTAACATTAATACTTTCTTAGATTTACGCGAATGTTTGATATTATTAAATAAAACTATCTTTTCGGATTATTTCGCGGATTTATTTTGATTTTTCGTTCCCGACGTTTCGAATGCTTTACAGCATCCATGGTCACGGGAGAGACTGAGGTGTTACATGTCAAAATCAAAATAAATCCGCGAAATAATACGAAAAGATAGTTTTATTTAATAATTACTAACAATAAAATAAAAACAGATATAAATAAAATGTGAAGCTACAAAATAAAAAGAAATATATAAAAATAATATTTATCAGACTCTAGTGTTTTTTTAAGTTCAGTTATAAATTTCTTTAAATTATATCCAAATATGTCAAGATGCTTGTAGTAATTATTATAAATGTTACAGACTCTTGTCAGGCAACAATTCTTGGCATATTTGGTTCTACGAGAGGGAACAAGAAAGGTATCTCTGGATCGGCTGTTAGTTCGAGGGCGTTTAAAGAAAATATTAGACAAAAGATAATAACAATCGATATGGTTATTAATGATTTTGTAAAGAAGAAATGGATCTCTTACTTCCCTTCTTTTTTACAAAGCACACAAGTTTAGGTTATTATACTCAATATCTCCAAATTTGAAACGAAATCTCTTAATAAATTTATTTTGAACGTCCTCGATAGCGTTAATATACTTGTGATACTGAGGATTCCAAACAGTTGAGGCATATTCCAGAATGGATCTAACGTAACAGTTATATATAGTAGATTGTATGTTTGTATGTTGTCAAAATCATCTGCCTGACGAAAATAAATCCAAGCATTTTGTAAGCCTTAGCTGTAATATTAGAGATGTGTTAACAAAAAGATGTTGAGAATCCAGTTGTACTCCCAGGTCTCTTACCTCTGTTACACGTATAAGGGGTTTGTTTAAAATAGAATGATTAAATGAAATTGGATTCTTTTTTTTTTTGAAAAAGTTATAACACATCACTTATCAACATTAATAAGTAATCCATTAGCTATACAATAATTTTATTAATATTATTTTGCAAATCCTCACAATCTTCTATACACTTCATCATTTTAAATATTTTAATATCACTGCGTATAAAAGTGAGTTTGAAAGCTGACAATTTTCAAGGATATCATTAATAAAGATATTAAATAATAGAGGGCCAAGGTGAGAGCCCTGGAGAACCCCTGATGTTATGGGG